ACAGGGTGGCTATGAATTGCTCTATATTGACTAAGTGGTGGTTGTGAATTTGGGAATGTTGAATTTGGAGATAATAGTACCCTTCCCCTTTCCTGGTTTCACCTTGTCTCTCGTCACCTGTGTAAGTTCGCCATTTCTTCATAAAGTAGGAAAGGCAAGGAAAACTGTAATTGCAGATTTAGTTAAATATGCTTCCTGGTAGAAACAATTGCAATTAATCAGCTTGAAATTATAGCATAAAAAAAAAAGAAGTTTTATCTATCGTACTTTTGATCTTTAAAATGGGTTTTCCTTTTGGAAATAATGGTTTTTCTTTGTATCCTATATCACCACGTTGGGCTGTGCGAGGTTGAAAGGAAATTAGTGTTTTTCTAGCATAAGTAGTTTTGAGTCTATTGACAATAATACATTGACCACATAGTGTTTTAAAATATATTTGTTATTTAAAAGTATCAAAAAAATATATGAAATAATTGAAGAAAATTATTTCCAAATCTATACCGGCATCATACAAGTAAAATGGGGGACATTTTACAAGAAATGATCCAAATAATATTTGAGGTGAAGAAATTCCTTCAAATAACCGTATCTTGTTATTAGAGATATCTAATCCAACGATATCATTTAATTTTTCTGAATATTGATTAGGAAAACATGTTCGTTTACATAAATAAGATCCTGATCCACTATCTACATAGGTAGCAAAATATTCTACTTTAAAATCTTTATAGGTTAGTCCAATTAAAATATAAATACTAGTTGGACTAGCAAAATATTCTATTAAAATCTATAATAGTTTCAATTGTCAAAGTGTTCTACCACATTATTACCATTATAGAATTCAAAAAAATAAAAATATCTATGAATTTCTTCTCTATATATCACGCTAATCATTCTACAAGGCCTATTTTTACAAATTACAAAGAGCTCTAAAAGATACAATCAAATTTAAATTGCTTTCAAATTCAACAAACAAAAAATCACTGAATTGCTTGTAATTATAACAATTTTGAATAGTTTTCTATAGTAATAAAGTTGTTAAATACTTTATGCTGAATTTAAAATTTTTTTAAGTAAATTATAGTTCCAGTACATAGCACGGGACACAATGCTAGTATTCTCTGTACAGATTTTTTATTTCTGGAGATGCAACATCAAGTCCATTATTGGCGTTCAAAGGTTGCGAAGCGTATCCATACATTTGTATCGTGAGCTTTTATTAAATAATTTATAGGTTTGGGTGGCCCAAATAGAGCCCTTGCACTTTGGAATCGCCACTGTGGACGTTTTGCATCCAAATCGTGGGCTCCCTTTAGTTGCTTTGGAATCGCCACATGTTGTAAATTCTAGTTCGTCAATGCTTTTGTTTGACTTTTACTTGTGTCATTATGGAATACACCAGCTCAAGTTGAAAATCAATAAGCCCAAAGGCCCCAAACCAATTTTTCAGTCTCCCATTTGTTTGGGGAAAATGACACAAAATGGAGTTTAGGGGTCCCAAGATTAATTACTTTATCTCATTAAATTGTATGATGTGAACACGGAGTCTCTAAGTGTGGAGCTACTTGCTCATTAGAGGAGCTGTCCAAGTCATTTGGAAGGAAGAGATTATAGACGAAAATTTCCAGCTCAAGTTTCATTAGTTTAGTAATTAGTTCGTTCATTATTTTGGGTTGAATTTTTAGTTAATAATCAGACCAGCCCTTATGCTTGGATCCGTGGTCTTAGGCTGAGTTATGGGCCGGGTTTCAAGGTTCATTAGTTGTGTCTTTTGCATTACGATGTAAGAAATGATAAAACATTATTTTTCCTCTTTCAATGAGAGATTATGACATATTTTCAGAACATCGTTTCTTGAGAGTTGCTCTCGTGGCTCTACGATCCTTTCTTGAACACCTAAAATCATCTAGTGTTCGTTAGGCTTATTAATCAAGTTCACGATCCTTGATCGTGGCGCTTTCTAACAATTCCTAGGATTTGCTAATTCGTAGGATTGAAGGTTGAAATAGTATCGAGATTCCAATCACAAGGATTAGAGGGGTCCGGAGTAGGAAATTCCGCCAATTCCCAGCCTGTAACAATTGCCATTGATCTGAAATTTGTTGTTGCGAATATCGCCATCAATGGGATTCACATCAGTTGGCATTACAGCTAGTTGTGATTTTTTAGGTTATATCCTTTGTTTTTGTTCAATTCGTTGGTGTTATTCTTGGTTAGAGTGAATTCGTTGCTATTCAAAAACAAAAAGAGCTGCTAGGGTTTTCGTCTTTGCGTCTTGAGTTTTTCTTGTTTCCATTAGTTTGTTTTGTTATAATCTATCCATAGCTTTTTGCCTTTGTTTCCTCGTGTTTCCAGTCCGGATTTTGGTATTAAATGCATGTTGTTTCTCTGTGAAATTTTTCCAGAAAATTCAGAAAAAAAATTGTTACTATTCATCATACTGTAGCTATTACTATTCATCATACTGTAGCGATTACTGTTCATCCAAGAAAAAAAAATTTGTTAGTGTGTTATCTTTCTTGTATTTGTGTCGAATTCAATAAAAAAATTCCAGCCGTTAGGTTTTCTTGTTGTGACCAAATTAGGGTTTTCGTTTCTAGTTGCTATCCGAATTAGTTTTGTTGATTACCTTTCGTTTCTTGTTTCCAACATCTTGTACTATTGTTGTTTTGGTAGTTTGGTTGAAGTTTTGAGTCAATATATATAGGTATATATGTATATATATATATATCAGTTGTTAGCCTTGGAAAAATTCTAGTTGTGACTTCCTTGGAGTGTGCGAGCCTTGTTCTAGGGTTCTTGCTTATTTGAGTTGTGAATTTGGAAAAAATTGGGCTGACCGTGCATAAATTCTTGGAACCTTGAATCGAAACTCCAGAATTCTTGAAGTTCTTGATTGTTTGAGTAACAATCTCGAAATTTCTTGAAGGTTTAGTTGAGATTCTTGAAGCTTATTAACCCTCCATTCATTCTTGTTGGAAACTGAAGACTCCACTTGGCTCGGGGTAGGTGCAGGTGGTTTTTAGTGTGATTATGTGGTTACAATATTTAGTGTTTTCTCCATTTTATTTTTTTATAATTTTTTTTCAATGTAAGTGGGAAGCCATGAACTCCAGATCTCTCACTTACGCTTCCTACTCTTGTATAACCAACCCATTTCCCCTCCCCCTCCCTCTCCCCATTTTCTCCATTCTATTATTGATGCTTTATTTCTAATTTTTTGTAATGTTCCCAAATAAGAGTTATCATTATGAAATCAACAACTATTTTCTAGTTTTGTTATTTAAAAAAGTAACTTTACGAATTCTCAATGCACATACCAATTGAATAGTTTGAATTCAAGGGTTACACATGCAGATTAGGTTAATTTCATTTTGTACCTTTCAACTATATTTCAATTCTCATTTTGATTCATAAACTATAAATAGGGGCATTTTACAGTTTGGGGCTAATATGCCTCAATTTAGAGATATCATAAAAGGAGATAAAACAATAACCTAAAACATCCCAAAATTAGACAAAATAAAGGAGTTTAGGGACTAAATTGAGAATTGTGGTACAGTTTGGGGCTAATATGCCTCAATTTAGAGTTTAGTGATAAAAAATGCAAATCAAAGTATAGCTTAGGGACTAAATTTTCTCAATATAGAGTTTAAAAAACCAAAATGAAAATTAGAGTTTAGTTGAAGGTTGCCAAAGTGGAATTAACTACATGCAAATTCATCCAATGTCACATCATCAAAACATAATGACTATATGCCTCTATACAAAGTTAATTTTTAGAAAACTACTGTAATATAGGTACAAAGACATGATTAATTTGGTATACACATATAATCTTGTATTTATGTGAATTTAGTTCGAGTACCAGGAACAAACATATATATCTATATCTATATATATACTGCCTAAAAAAGTATGAAAGGGCTTGGTAAGCAGCGTATAAGTATTTTGTGGACTTAATGTTTGCTATATCCAAAATACGCCCTTTTGAATCAGACTTAAAAAAAATTCCAAAGTGCCCTTATTTTGTGGTCTTTAATTGTGGATTGTTTGATAGATTGTTCAATGAACACTTGGAAATATGACTTGCTTAAGGATATATTCTGGTTGGATAAAGTAGAGTTGCTCATAAGCATTCCAATTAGTGATGCAAATAATCAACACAAGTTGATTCAGCATTTTAATAAAAATGGTTGTTTTCCAGAGAAGAGTGCGTACCATCTCATCAAGCAACCAACTTTGAGTTGGGAAAACATACCTTCTGGGAGCAATGACACTTCTAGTAACCATTCGAATTCTAAACATTCCCAACAAGATCAAAGTTTTTGTTTGGAGGGCAAACAAGGACATTCTACCAACAAATTCCAAGCTTAAAAGTTGTGCCCTTTCTGTTTATCCTGTGTTCATTTTGTGTAGCACCTAAAGATAATATGAATCACATTTTCTTGAAATTTACTATTGCAATCTAGGTTGGGACACTAAGTTTTGTGAAGCATATGACTCTTTGGAACAATCGAAATGGTGTGGTCTCTGAGAGTTCTTTTAACGACCCTATTAGTCTTGCTTGTTATTCCTCTAAATTACTTCAACAATTTCAGGAAGCTTTCTCAATCTCTACAAACTTAGCACCTTCATTACCAAGATTGTCAAAATCACTAATTAAGTGCGTTTGATAAAATTGAAGTTTGAAAACTGAAATTTAAAATCTAAAGTTTGAATCTATTAAGTTATTGGACTATTAAGTACTAAATCTGATATCACTACTATAAAAATGACCTTTAGTTATACACTTAATATGATATTTTCCTGAAAGCGTCACAACAAAAAGTTAACGTAACATGCAACAGAGAACATCATTAAAGTGGTAAAGAAAACGAGTACGACATCGTATCACTCTAAGTTGTCCTAATAGAAATAATAAATAAAACCCGAAGCGGGAAAGAGAGTGGTGCTACCCTTCAGTGCCTTTTTTCAGCATAAATTCTAACTCCTCTCACTTTACTCTTTGCTCACCCCAGTTCTCTCTCCTCAAAATCACTTTAACTCCTCTTCGCTTTGCTCTTTGTTACTCTTTGTGTAAAAATTATAATTCCTCCACCCCTCTCTTTACCGAATCTCTTGTTTCTTTCTCTTTCTTCTACTTGATTTTTAGTTCTCACCAATTTGAAGGCAAACATGTAAACTTTTGAAGAAGGTAGTTTAATCAACAAATTGGTCAAGAAATTTTGGGACTTATATGGCTTCCACGGCCCACGGTGGTGGCTCTTCTGTCGGAGCTACAACGGGAGTGGTTTTGTGGAGTTTGTATGGGAATTGGTATATGAAATTTTTAACAACCTATCAGCTTTGAGATCTGCCTGGTCCGGAGAGCAACGGTGGAGCCATGGTTTTGATTGGAAATCTGTAGGGAACCCATCTAAAGTTTCCTCTTAAGGGTCATTCTTGGATAGTCTAATGGGAAATAAGGATACTTCATAATTGTATAAATTAAGGTATGGGGATAGTATATTATTGCATTTCTTAATATATCAGTTTCTCTTACTCTTACTTGATAATTGATTATTGTTATTATTGTTATTATTGTTGATTTGCTATGATTGTTAATTTTATTGCGTTCAAGTGTTGATTTTTAATATGTCATGGAGCTGATTAAATCTATTTAGTTTCATTGTTGTAGTAATTTGTGCTGTTAGAAATTTAGTTGGATTTTGTCTGATTTCATTTCTCTTCTTGTATGGTTAGCTAGCAATAGTTCTAGATTAGCAACCTCAAAGAAGGCTTTTACAAATCATTGGTTATTACAGCCATATGCTGTACGATTTGATAGGAAGAGGGTTGATGACTAACGTGTAACCTTTGACAGCACTAATGGTTAATCTGCAGTGCTTGTGCTTGAATATAAGAATCGATATAATAGTATCATACTTCTATACAATATGGCTCTGGTTTAAAAGAAGGCTAGTGTCCTCATAATCTAGTTAGTTGAGTTTGGATATTAATTGTACTGGGTTGTTAGGAAGCTGTATATGGTTTCTTTGTAGTGGTAACTGTCATGACCCAAATCTTTTCTGAAATAAGTTTGGCCTTTTTTGCTATTTCCCTTTGCTTTTGTGTGTGTGTTAATCAAACTTATTTCATGGTTATATGCTTCAAAGGTTTCTTCATGAGCTGTCATTTTTAGTGCTTGGCTTAGGTAGTTTGAGGAAGTCAATATTGTTGATATCTCTATTGTTTTCACGAAATGCATAATCCTTGTCTACCAAAATTACATGAAGTTGCATATTCTTCTTATTAAAACAAAATATGCTATATAGGTGGGTCTTGCTATCGAAAGCATAAAGCCTCCCCAAAAAAAAAAAAATCTCTCTCTCTCTCTACCTTCTCATGCAGGGAATGGGATTTGGAAGTTGATAGTATAACATAAGATAGCATTGTTCGAAAGGCTGAAGGAATTATTGCATTAATTTAAAGAAATTGCTGATGTTAATTCACATTTGAACTCACTCACATGAATGCTTAAACTACATATCTGAAGCATCTTTAACTTTTGGAAGCTTGGGTTTGTCAATTGGAGTTCTAAAATATGGTTTGAAAGCCAACTAACATAGAATTTTTCGAGAGGTGAATTGCTAATAAAACTTGTGAATGCCTATTGAAAAGTAAAGAATAAACTGAATTTCAAATGGTTGGGCAAAGCTCATTTTGTGGGTCAATTTTCTGTCTAGTTGTGATTTCTTTTTAGTTCCATTTTGGTGGATTGATTTGTGGGAGTACTGTGAAGTTTGATTAGTTGAAGTCATTTATATGATCAGGTTGAAGTAAGATTTCATCAATTGAAGAGAGGCTTGTAAAATGTTTAAGAAGGTAGTAGCTAGGACTTATTCAAATATCTAGGTATGATGGCTCTCACCTTTACTTTTTTCTTCTTTGTCATGGCTGAAATTTCTTCTCTATTAGTTGGATTCTCTAATTGTACTACTTTTGTATGTATGTATGCAGTATGTATGTAATGGTTGATGATTGCTGAAGATTGAATTCATGTTAGACGTGTAGACTAAAAAAAAGGAAAGTCATATTAGATTAGACATTAAAACGCCTTAAAAAAATTTTTTTGGGCAACTTTAGTTTGCTTTGCTGATGTCAAAATATATCCCTTGGAAACAAATAAATCAAGGGTACAACAAAGTACAAAATTTTGAAAAAAAGGTTTGGTTTGGAGAAAAAATGTAAAAACTAGAAATATTTAACTAATTGACTGCTAGAATAGTAGATACATAACATGGCCTAACAACCAAATGTGAGTGTTTTTTCACTAATGGCTGATATGGAATGATGCAGTTGTGGAGAAATGCAAATTATCAACCAAGAAAAGATACATAATTACACCAAGTTCTAACAAAATTTAATAGACAGTGACAATAGTTAAAAAAAACATTAGTATTGTTACTGTGGTTCTAGGAACAATATTTAATTTGATTAAGACATTGAACTAGCAAGAACATAATGTACTTTTGATATGTCAATAAAGTTGTGAGAATTTTTATAAATCTATGCTTCACCTTCAGTTGCCATAAGATATTCTAAGTTATTTTTGTTATTTTTGCCATAAGATACTCTAAGTTATTTTTGTTATTGCTTTTGTCTAGTCTATCTTTCAAATTTTTAAAGGATCTAGCGGTTTTGGGGCCATCTAGTGCTTTTTTAGGGGAAAAGGTATGGTTGTGCTCATTGGGACCATCTAGTGCTTTTTTTTAGCTTCCTCTTTTTCCTTTTCACTTAGTTGACTAATTGGACTTATAAAAAGATTTATATTTCTTGTTGATTTTACTTTTTTTTTAAATGTGATTTCCTTTTATTTATTCCAAGGAAACGGGAGATAGTTACAAAAGATATAGAGAATAAGCTGGCAGAGCCCAACCACCTAACAATGCACCAGCCTAAAGGATGGGAATTCTCTAGCATCCAAAGCCAAACAGTCGCGGATCCCCTGTAGAAGGTGAGACAGAGAGTCAAAGGCCATACTCGGGTACCCTTGCAGAGCAGCTAACTTATCAGCAACCATATTTGCCTCACGGAAGATGTTCTGAAATGAAAGAGACACCTGTTCCAGAAGTTTGCGAATCTTTCTCAACACATTGCAGTACGACCAACCTCCCAGGGCCGATGATTTGACTAGCGACACCAAAAGTGCTGAGTCCACTTCCACCAAGACCCCCCGTAGCCCCCTTGCAGCACACAGTCACAACCCCTCTAGTGCAGCTAACGTCTCAGCCTGCAAGACCCCCTTCTCCCCAAACTCCTTGTAGAAAGCGAATATAAGTCTACCATTCGAGTCTCTTAGTGCTGTTGACCACACTAGCCCTCCCGTTGACCACACTAGCATCCGTATTTAACTTGTACCGCTGAGTAGGGGGTTTCATCCATGTTACCACCGCTGTCTGCCGTGTACGAGTCACCGAAGATGCCAAGCTCGCCCAATCGCTATCCAGATCACCATAGAACTGTGCCTTCTCAAGTTTCTTTGCTCTTCCCAAGTCATATATGAAATTAACCACCTCCCGGATGACCCTCCGAGCCAAAAACTCTTGCCCTTCAAACCTTGCCTTATTTCATCCCTGCCAGAGGAAGCATGATACAAATATCGGGAGGATACATCTGATATGGTGTGTCGGGATGCGAGGCACTGATGTGCCCCACTTCTTCCATAGAAGTTGAAGATCATCAAGCGGTAAGCGAAGCATGCCAAACATAGTACCAAAGTGCCCACAAATCTCCTTTGCCACCGGACCACTGACAAACAGGTGGGGCACCGACTCCTCCTCCTCCAGACAACAAGAGCATCTGGACACCATGGCCAGCCCCTTTCTGCGGAGCACCGAATCTAAGGTGACAAAGTTATTCAACAGTCTCCAAGCAAATATAGACATTTTCAGCGGAACACCCCTATTCCAGACCATACCATGCATTGAGAAGGCACCTCAACGTTGTCGACATAGCTCCCATGTTGAGATTAGCGAGAAACACCCCGTAGCCGACCCCGTCCACATGATCCGATCCTGCCCATCAAGGTCGAATGGAACCTCCACAATCACATCCACGAGGTGGCACGGAAGCCATTGCAGAAGACGGTCCCTGTTCCACCCTTCTCGACCTAAGAATTCCGCCACCAAGAAATGAGGCTTGTCCCTATGTGCTGGCAACAAAGAACTTAAGGGTCCAAGCTCACACCAAGTGTCTAGCCAAAAGTCCACCATACCCGGACCTAGGCTCCATGTAATGTGAGCATCAGCCATCTCCCGTATACCAATTAGGTGTTTCCATGTCCCCGTCGGTCGTGCTACTTCCACCTGGAGCGGATGCTGGTCCCCGACATATTTAGAGAACATAAAGTCCGACTAGATGATTTTACTTGGCTTTATAGGCTGCAATATTTTTATTATTCTTAAATATTCTTGATTTTGCTGTCTCATTTAATCAAATTGATTTGTTTTAAAGTTTGATAGGCTTAGACACTAAATTGCTTTAAAAAGCATTTTTTTGGGTTGGTAAATTTCCTTTAAAAAACTACCTTTAGGTAGCTTTACTGTTGTAATATTCCAAAAGTAATTTGTGTCTTCTATTAATTTCCTTGAAATTAGTTTTCTTATCTAAGTAAATGTTTCATGCAAAAATCAGTAATAGTTTAGGTAGCATTATCTTGTAGATGCTAATGAAGCTTTCTTCTTTTTTTTTTAATTAGAATCTATGTGAATATGTCACATGGTCAAGTGATGAGTATAAAGTTGATTTAGAAGATTTTCTTGATTTTACATTTACGAATGAGAGTATATGGGAGATGATTTTTTGCCCATGCATTTGGTGTGGAAACGGGGTTTTTGTCATGAAAGAGCAGACCAAATCACACTTGATATGGAAAGGGTTTATTAAAGGATATACTCAATGGATAGCTCAAGGAGAGCAATCTTCGAGTGTGCATCGTACATCTTCACGTCTCTTCAAATGAAGTTCCACCACTCAATCCCATAAATGATATGCAAGGATTGTTACAAGATGCATTAGGAGTTCTAAACCAGGACCTAGATATGGAAAAAAAATTAGAAACAGAACAGTCGAATATTGGTGCTGAAAAATTCTACAAATTAATAAATTATTCGAAGCAACCACTTTATCCAGAATGCCCGCAATTCTCTAAACTATATTTTCTAGTGTGCTTGTTGCATATTAAATGTCTCAGTAAAATACCCGATTCTGTATTTAATATAATTCTTGATTTGTTGAGGCAACCACTCCCAAAAGGTGTAAATCTACCCAACTCTTATTATGAAACAAAAAAGATAATGAAAGAACTAGAACTTGGATATGAAAAATATGATGCATGTCCTAATGGTTACACATTATATTGGAGAAAAGATGGATCAAAGATAAGATGTGACACTTGTAAACATCTAAGGTGGGTGCCATCAAAAGATGATCCTACTGGTGAAAAAAGGAAAGTTCCCCATAAGATTTTGTGGCACTTTTCACTTAAATCCAGATTGTAGTGTCTATTTATGTCATCTAAAACATCATCTTTCATGAAATGGCATGTCGAGGGTACTAAGGATGGTCGCATGAGACATCCTGCAGATACTCCAGTTTGACAATCATTTGATTACCAAAATCCTGAGTTTGTAAAAGAACCCCATAATGTCGGATTGGGTTTAGCTTCTGATGAATTTAATCCATTTAAAAATATGAATGTGAACTATAGTACATGACCAGTAATACTGATTCCTTATAATTTGCCACCATACATGTGCATGAAATAGCCATACTTTATGTTGTCACTAAATCTTGACCCATATGCACCTGAAAACAATATTGATGTTTACCTTCAACCTCTTAGAGTTGAGTTGAGCGAATTGTGCGACACAGGTGTGACACTTATGGTGCATCATCAAAGCAAATTTTTCAGATGCGTGCTGCTTTACTCTGAAGTATTAGTGATTTTCTTGGTTATGCTAATTTATCTGGTTAGAGTATTAAAGGTTATTTAGCATGTCTAGTATGTCATAAGCACATTGTTTCACACCATTTAAGGCATTATTCAAAACAATGTTACATGGGTCATCGGCGATTTCTTGAAAAGGAACATCCATATCGAAAGGATAAACATCACTTTGATGGAAAGGAAGAATATGGAGTTGCACCATCTCACTTGATAGGAGATATGATCTTAGAGGAATTGAGATCTTATAAAATCAAAATTGGAAAAGTAGTCAATGATATTCCTGAATTACCCTTTAATTGGAAGAAACAAAGCATTTTTTTTTTACTTGCCGTATTGGAAGAACAATTTGTTGCATTATTGTCTTGATGTCATGTACATTGGAAAAAATATATGTGAGACTATTGTTAGAACATTAATGAATGTGGATGGAAAATATGATAACCTTGATGTATGGAGTGATTTGGAAGAAATGGGCATACGAGCAAGTTTTCATCCTATTACAGATGAGTCTGGAAGAGCATATTTACCTCCAATATGTTTTTATTTGGATAAGAAAGAGAAAGAGTCATTCTGTAAAATTTTGAAAAAGGTTGATGTTGACCTTGGTCCCTAACTTTTGATGTTTACAAAACAATAGATGATACTAATATTTCTTCAAGAAATACTTTCAACTATGAAGCAAATCTGATTCAAAGAACAAGAGCATTTGAAGGAGATAAAGGAAGACGAAAGCTGTCAGACGCTCACAAAGACAATACCGGACGTTCGATAGAAACTCTCTATTTGCTATCGGACGCAAGTATCGGAAGTACCGGATGTCCGATAGAATTGAGATAGTCCTTCAAACTCTCTGTTTGCTATCGGACGCAAGCATCGGAAGTATCGGATGTCCGATAGAATCCTTCAAACTCTTTGTCTGCTATTGGACGCAAGTATCGGAAGTATCGGACGTTCGATAGAATCCTTCAAACTCTCTATCTGCTATCGGATGCAAGCAACGATAGTACTGGATGTCCAATACTCCCAACGGCTAGTTGATTCTTTAGCTACTTTTTATCCGTTGGAAGCATTAATGAACCACTTTCTTGGTCTCATATAAATAGAGCATGGTCAGAAACTTCAAACAACTTTTGCACACTGAAAATACAAAAGATATAGAGTAGTTTTAGTGAGAAAACACTCTCTAAGGAAGATTTGGAGTCTTGATGGTGTGAAATTCATTATAAACTTTTCATTTGTAAGTAAATACTTCAATAGTGTAGTTCTGTAAGGGTTGTCCTGAGGGATAGTAAAACTTCCTAATTTGACTGAGTGGAGTTTGGGGCAAACAGGAAGTGAGCATTCCTTTGTACACAAGATTGGTCATATTTCATCAATTTGAAGAAACTTGTTTGAATTGATCTTCAAGTTCAAGAGGAGTTTCGTAGTCAATTGGTTTGCAATTCCTTTCTTCTCATTTACTTATTGTTATGTTGTGATCCTTAAATTGTTTATCTTTTCTACTTCTCTCAAGTGATATTGTTCATTGATTGATTGATTTATTGTGTGATCATTTAGAAAAGAAGGTAAATTTCATATTCATAACTTGATTAGCTTTTTAATAAACCTAATTCAACTCCTCTTAGGTTGTCTTCGATCCCTACAATTGGTATCAGAGTTTGGTCTCCTAGAAATTAAACTCAAGCGGCTTACGAGTAAAGATGACAATCAACAATATTATTTTTTTGAAGGACAATCTGTGATTAGACCTTCAATGTTTAATGGCTCAAATTATGTGAGTTGGAAAGAAAGAATCTTATCTTCTTGCAATCGATTGATATTGAATTGTGGTTTATTGTTAATGAAGGTCCATATGATGTTTCTATAGTAGATGAAAACACTTATAGATCTAGACCAAAAATAAGAAATGAATTGACTGCAGAGAATAGAATTTATCTCACCTTAAATACAAAAGTTATGAATGTGTTATATAGTGCTTTAGACTCAAATAAATCTATTAGAGTCAAGAGTTGTAAGTTAATTAAAGAAATTTGAGACAAACTGAAAGAAATTCATAAAGGTAGCGAAAATGTTAGAGAGCAAAAAAATCTATTTTGGTTACTAAATATGAGTCGTTCAAGATGGAATCTCATGAAAATATTGACAAAATGTATTGTAAATTGTGACGCCCCCATGTTGACCTTGGTCCCTAGCTTTTGATGTTTACAAAACAATGGCTAATACTAATATTTTTTCAAGAAATACTTTCAGTTATGAAGCAAATCAGATTCAAAAGATCAAGTGTAATTGAAAGGGACAAAAGCTGATGAATGCTGTCGGACACTTGTGAAGTCAAGATTGGATGTCCGATACTCATTACGCAACTTCGGACGCATGAAGAACTCTATCACCGGGTGTCCGAAAGAATTAAGACATTCCACCTAGCTCACTGACCTCTTTTGGACGTAAGCATCGGACGTCCGATAGGATCCATCATACTCGACGAAAGTTGTCGGACACTCACAAAGACAACATCGGACGTCCGAAAGAATTGAAGAAAATCTCTTAAGTTCACTGCCTGCTGTCGGACGCAAAAAACAAGACTATCGGACATCCGACACTCCCAACGACTAGTTGACTGTTCATCTACTTTCTATCCGTTGGAAGCATTAATGAAACACTTTCTTGGTCTCCTATAAATAGAGCATGGTCAGATATTTCAAACAATTTTTGCACACTGAAAATACAAAAGATCTAGAGTAGTTTTTGTGAGAAAACACTCTCCAAGGAAGATTTGTAGTCTTAGTGGTGTGAGGTTCATTGTAAACTTTTCATTTGTGAATGAATACTTCATAAGTGTAGCTCTGTGAGGGTTGTCCTGAGAGATACTAAAACTTTCCTAACTTGACCGAGTGGAGTTTGGAGCAAGGAGGAGGTGAACCTTCCTTTGTACACAAGAATGATTGTAATTCATCAACTTAAAGAAAATTGTTTGAATTAATCTACAAGTTCAAGAGGAATTGGGTAGTTAATTGGTTTGCAATTCTTTCCTTTTTATTTACTTATTGTTACGTTTGTGATCTTTACATTATTTATCTCTTCTATTTTTCTCAAGTGATTTGTTCATTCATTAATTGATTCATTGTGTGATCACTTAAAAAAAAGGGGGTAAATTTCATATTAAACAAAAAGTGCCATAACTTAATTAGGTTTTTAATTAACATAATTCACTCCTTTTAGGTTGTTTTTGATCCTTACAATTGGTATCAGAGCTTGGTCTGCTTGAAATTAAGCTCAATCGGCTTAAGAGTAAAGGTGACAACCAACAATACTATTCTTTTGAAGGACAATCTGTGATTAGACCACCTATGTTTAATGGGTCAAACTATGTGAGTTGGAAAGAAAGAATGATTATTTTCTTGCAATCGATTGATATTGAATTGTGGTTTATTGTTAATGAAGGTCTATATGATGCTTCTGTTATATATGAAAATACTCATAGATCTAGAACAAAAATAAGAAATGAACTGACTGTTGCAGATAGAATTCATCTCACCTTAAATGCAAAGGCTATGTATGTGTTATATAGTGCTTTAGACTCAAATGAATCTATTAGCGTCAAAGGCAGCAAGCCAGCCAAGGAGATTTGG